ACAAACACATCAACAAAAACCAACATAAACATGTCAACAAAAACAAACACAAACATGTCAACAAACACAAACATGTCAACGTCAAACACAAACATGTCACAAAAACCCAACACAAACATGTCAACAATCAACAAACACATCAACAAAACCCAACATAAATATGCCAACAAACACAAACATGTCAACAAAAACAAACTAACACATCAACAAACACAAATACGTCAACAAGCAAACAAACATGTCAACAAAAACGAAGACAAACATGTCAAACACAAAGACATCAATAGAAACAAACACAAACACAGGAAGCTGGTAACTAAGTAGTAGCTACCATTGGGGCTGACTATCAGTTACTACCACACCAAATTTTAGCTCAACATCTGTAAAACAGTGTTAAAGTCAGTTCTGGATTTCCTAAAGCCAAATAGCTGTGGCAGCCATCTTGAAATGTGTTGCTTCCAACAGTTGTAGGTGCAAATCTTGCTCTGGTTTTCTATTTGTTATTTTGCTAACGCTACAGAAAAACAAACACAGACTAAAATATTATTGGTGATAAATATCAGCTCGTTAATATTTTCTCAGCTGAAGCAAACAAAGTTTATTTCTGCAGCTTCATTTTCATTACGAGCTATAAACTGGACACACATTTGTCTGGCCCAGTTCTGGCCGACACAATGAACTGTTGGCCCAAATACCACAAAGAATGACACCCTTTGGTGGCCCAGATGTAGTTTGCCAGAGGTGGTCCGTGCATGGGCCAGCACCACATAAACCAAAGCGCAACTGGACAAGATGTGGCACTGCCAGGTTTGGGCCACATAAACCAAACTACTACTGGACCAGATATGGCATGTCATCCTAAAATTCGTGCCATCATTGCCAGACCTGGCCCACATTTGGTTGAAAAACCATTTGCCATGCCAGCAGTGCCAGCCTGACACCAAATCTGGCCTACACCTGTCTGCTATGTGGGAATAAAATCTTTCTCTAGTAGCTAATAAAATGGCATTAAATTAATTAAAATGAAAAACATCAGCTTGTAGCTCAGATTTAATAAAAAATGTCTGCGTGTCGTCACGTTCCAGTAAACTAATCCTTATTTATTAGTACTGGACACATGGACGGACTTAATGCAAAAGCTTCAGAGAATCCTAAGTCTGTTCAGGGTTTGGAGCTTGCAGAGCAGCGGCAGATTTACGGCAGGAAAACGCCGCCTTTGTTTATTATTTCCCTTCCTCTCTGAAACGGATGCAGCCAGAAGAATAAAACATTTATTTTCTCCAAGGTAACCTTTACTTTAATAATGCAGTAATTATCTGTGTCTGCATTCCTGTTTTAAACTTTAAATCAACAATTACTATTTGTGTAAATTTAGAGCTTTATTGTAAACAAACTATTAATAAATAGTATTCTTCAGCAGTTGGCTAGTGTTAAGGTGGTCCATTTCCCCCACCTGAAAGCAGTTAATGTCATCATTTCAAAGAAGATTTAGAGCAGGGGTCCTCATTGTTTTTCTCTGGAACCCCCAAACCCATAATCAACAATACAGTCGATGCTACTACAAAATTAAAGCTTCATTTTGAAGCTAGCGATTTGCTTTATTACAACAAACATTCAGGTCATGTTTTGTTTACACACCTGAGCACTGAGAATACTCGGGCCATCTTTCCAATGGCACGGATCTTGTTGCGGATGACTTCTTTGCGGGCCGAAGCTGTGGCACCTGGAGGGGGCAAAGGTCCAGATAAACTGTCACACAAACTCAAATTCAACCTAATGGCCCATGATAAAATAAAAATAAATAAATACAGAGTCGTACAGCGTTAAAATGTGTAATTAAATGATTCAGATTTCCTGACTGGGCTGAGAGTTCATTGGACTATTAGTAATAAAAACAACACTGTGTTGTTATTTAAATCCGGTTCACACCACAAGATAATTCGGCTGAGTTCAGACCTGATGACAATCGTAAAGACGCTCTGATTATGGTGATGCTCTAAAGATAATCTTAGGAGATACTCCTGACGTGTGTGGTGAGTTAAGAGTGATGTGGCTGGCTCTGAAGGATGTTGGGACCACTCTGACCTAAAATTAAGGATATTCAACATGTTGGACTGTTTTGGCCTGATATACCAGCACGTGTGGAGATTTGCTGTTGAATGTGACCTGTAGCCAATCAGAAAACGAGGTAACAAAGACCAGAAAGTTCAGTTTGTTTTGGGTTTTTTTTAGTCCACAAACTATCACCATCACTTCAAACCTCTTGTATCGACGATTTGGTGTCTCAGGTTTTGGCCGAAAWTTTTAAAATCCTGCCGTGTGAACCAGGCATAAGGCTCGGATTATTTAAAAAATAAAAACCAAAATGTTTGACGTGAAGACACAACATCTGAGARTTTCTCAGCATTCGGTGCATCCATGCCAACCCTCTGTTATCTGTTTCTGATGCTCAGTGTTAGTCTGTAGACTGATCCTCCTGCAAACATGTCGCTTCAACATGTTTGACAAACATGCTTCTAAGCTTTAGTAGTTTATGTTTTCTACACTGGAACACTCAATGTTTTTATTTATTTATTCATTTTCGTCCCTACTGTGTGTGAACCTCTAAGACCAGCTGTGTGTTTTAACAGAGATGTCAGTTTGACAAATGTTAAAAAGGCAGAAGACAAGCAGAGGTCCAGCTGTTGCTGAGCACACCTGTACAGCCAGTGTTTGTACCTTTTTTGGGGGGATATATTAGCTGTCCTTCTCATGAGACACCCCCCAGAAGAGAAGACAAAGAGAAAGGACAGACAGATCAGTGGACAGCTGTGGGATGAAAGATGGATGTGGAAGAAAACAAAAAGAAGGGTGAAAAGAAAAAAGCACAAGAAGAGAAAAAGGGAAGCGATGACTTGAGCACAAGACTCTGGAAAAAACAAAACAAAACAAAAAAATCAAATTAAATTTAAAATTAGATGAGTGAAACCAAAAGGAGTGAGATGATTACAGCAGGAGACGGAGAGGAGAAAATCTGTGAGGCTGTGGAAATCAACGTAACTGGTAACCCCGGCAACAGCAGCAGGTGAAGAGTAAAAGATGATCAGAGATGATGAGAAAAAATAAATAAAACAACTCAAAGGTCAACAGAGACAACGGTTAAAAAAACAAAAGCTGAAGGAGAAAAACAACTCATGACTGTGTGTGGGCCGACTGAACGGGGTTTAAAAGTCACCGTGTCAGAACCGCTGCCTTTTCCTGCCGTTTAAAGTCTTTTTAATAAAAAAAAAAAAAATCAACTGTTTGCTCCGCTTTTACATAGAGCAGAGCAGCTCCCCCCCCCTGCTGTTCGTTAGCTTTTGGAGCTCCGCAGGACGCCGTTCGACACTAAAACATATCAAACACAACAAGCTAAAGTTTGGTGAAAAACAGATCAGTTAAAAGGTTCAATATAAAAAATAATCCAGAAATTACGCAAATTTTTATACTTTTGAAGTGAAACAGCACAAAGAACTGCCAGACAGTACATGTTTTTCTGTGGAAAAGAAAAACTAAATAAAAGCCAATATTAGAAAAATGGAAGCTAGAATCTAATAGCAGGAAAATGCTAGCTAAAAGCAAAAAGTGGGTAAGGGGTTAGGTAAGGTAGCAAAAAGCTAACTAAAAGTAGCAAAGGGTTAGCTAAATACTAAGAATAGCAAACAGGTAACCTACAGTAGAAAGTGGCAAATTAAAAGCTAAAAGTAGCAAAAGGTTAGCTAAAAATAGCAAAGGTCTAGCTAAAAGCCAAGCGTGGGAAAAAGAGCATGAAGCTAACAAAAAGTGTTAGCTAAATACTAAGAATAGAAAAAAGGTAGCTTAAAGTAGAAAGAGGATAATTAAAAGCTAAAAGTAGCAAAAGGCTAGCAAAATATCAAAAGTAGCAAAAAACTGACTAAAAGTAGAAAAAGGCTAGTTAAAAGCTAAAAGTAGCAAAATGCTAACTAAAAGCGGCAAAAGGCTTGCTACTTATGGCTAACACAATGGTTTTAAAGGAAATGGAAAAGCTAAATTAATTTCTACCAGCTTATAAATTTCTCCTGAAAAAACTGAATGTTGTTCCATAGTTAGTAGTAATAGTTGTTAACGTTTCTTAAAATAAATAACTAAATAATAACAATTTACATATCTTTTAAAAATCTTTAAATCTTGGTGGTACTTTAGCTCAAGGTTTTTGTACGGTCACGATCTCCTGCCGGCCCACACCGACTCATGAGGAAACAAAAAGTAGAGAAATCAGAGGCTCGCTGAGAGAATGAATTGATGAAACATGAAGAGATGTTAGAGGACGGCTGATCAGTTTCTGCCCCTTTTACAATTTCAACTATTTGTCTTTTAAAGTAATTTAACTGGAACTTTATTTTAAACAAAAAAATGTGGAAGAGCTAAAATACAAATTAAATCTAAACATTTAGTCGTATTTTAACGGTTATTCTTCTGCTTTCCAAGGTAAGAGAACGTTTAAAAGTCAAGACATTTTTTAAACGTGACTCAGATGTGGTAACATCCTAACGCCTCACCTCTGAGGACTGTGTGAGGAGGAGGAGGAGGAAGAGGTGAGATCATTTCCTGTTTGCTCAAGGGAAAACCTGATTGTAGATAAGCTAACTCGAGAAAACCAAACCTGCTGCTGATATGTGACTCTAAAAAGCATAAATATCAAAACTAACTGTAATGTTGTATGAAACGTCACAGCATTTTAAGAACTGTGAAGCTTTTATTTTGACAGCACAAACGGTGGAAGGAGGGCTCCGTCTAGTGGCACTGAGGGGAACCACAGAGGAAACTCACCGTCCAGCTCCTCCTCAGTCGTCAGCTCGTCGTTGGAACAAATGCTCAAAATGTTCACGAGCATCTCAGTCACTGTAAGGAGAGGAAAAAAACTGATTATTTAATCACTGCATTGATCAGTTTTATATCTACACAAAGAAAAATGGTGCAGTCTTACTGCCTCTTCCTCACAAATAAAGTTAGAATCATTTGAAAAACAAAAAAAATCCCTCGAATCCAGGTTTCAGGTATTTCAGGGGTCTTAGAATTTAAAGAAGGGGAACTTTTAGTGTTTTACTCCTCCGTGGGGACCTGGCGGCTTTGTGAGGACGGGTCTAGTTCAGGAGGGTTAAACCTAAAACGGGCTTCCAGCAGCCGGTGAGTCAGCAGTAGTTCTTTGTGATTAACAGGCACAGATGTGTCAGAGCTGAACGCTGAAATGCCAAACGGTTCTCTGAGGTAAAAACCCTTTTCAGTCTTATTTGTCCTCACTCCTAATGAACTGCTATTTACTAAATGTGACCGCTGCTGACAAAATCACTCAAATTGATGAATTTAAAAAAAAAAGTAAATTTAAGGGGAATCCCTGAGCTTCATAATGACACCAAACATTAWATGAAGGGATTTCCCAGCGTTCCTGCGAACAGCAGAGTAAATAAAATGAGAGATTTAAAGGTAGATTAGGAGGATTAAATGCTGTTTTAGTTACTTGAACTGGGACATGGTGTCGTTTTGGACTTATTTTWATGCAAAAATCTATATTTTGACTTTTTTTGTTGTGCAGCCTGTGCTCATTCTGAGCCATTTAACAGCACTGATCTCATAAATTAAAGAAAAAGAAGCATCACATCTAGATTTCTGTATTTTACTCATGTCACAGACAAGAAGCTGGTTAGAAATACTTGTTTAAAATATGGAAGTAGAAACAACAGCATAATTTTCTTATATGACAAATGGAGCCAGAATATATGAACAAACTACTCTGCTCTAAACAAACTCCTCTAATATTATTTAATGATTGAAGTCAATCTTTTATCACTACCAGCTCCAGCAGAAACTCTTTTTAACTTTAACAGCAGCTGAGACGCTTTAAAAACAGGAAATCAGTTAATTTAGCACTCAGCTTTAAACTGATAGAAGAATGTATCTGAAAACCTTTCTATTATATTTTATTTCCCTCATCAGTTGAAGTTCAGGTTAAAACGCACTGAAAGGCACAACAACGCCCCCTGCTGGCACAAACCGGTATCTACATTAAAACTACAGATAAAAAATAGAAATGTTGGAGTCATTTTAAACTTAATATCTGCGAAAACAAATAATATCATTTATGTTGATTTTAATATAATTAAAATGTTATTACTTGAGGTTAAAAGGCAAGACAAATAATAGTAAGAACACTGATTTTCAGGATAACAAGAAATTGGTATTTTACGAAATGTAAACTTGCATTGTGGTACTTTCCCCAGATTTGGTGCCATTTGTAACAGTTCCAATAACTGCTTCTGCTGTTGTTTGATTTTAATAACAGAACATATGTACACTCCTCCAAGCTGAGCCAATGGAACAAACCAAACAATAAAAACAGAAAAATACATCATAACCTTCAAACAGAGAAATAAACACAGCGGACACAAATCCTGACACTCCACCTGTCTTTTCAACATATTATCAGTAACACAGCTGAAAATAAAATAAGTAATAAACATGTTRTAAAAATCTGAATAGCTGAAACTGAAAATGGAGCAATAATTTCGATGAGTACCTACTGTCTATATACGCTACAAACACATATCTGCACTCACCCTTCTCTCCGACGAAGGGCAGAGACCAGGTGAAAACATCCATGAAATTGGGCAGCCAGTAGGGATGAGGTGAGCAGTTGAACTGTCGGATGTTCATCACATTGTTCTCGTACTTCAGCACGGCCGCTGTGAACGAGAAACCATCGTGATGAATACATCTGCCGACCGACAACTCTGCCCGTTTGAGGAAAGTTGATCAACTTCACAACAAACTACGGCACGTCTTATAAACAGGTTTATTCTTCAGGTGTTTCAGCTCCCTCGTTTTGTCATTTGCTGTTTTTTTTTTCTTTTTTAAAAACGTGTCATTAGTTATAGGTGTTTATGAGGTGTGAAGCTTCATTTGATAAAATAAGTGTGAAAACATCCAAATCTGTCAGCCACATCAAGACTTGAGTCTGAGTGGAACACAAGGTTTTGTCAGTCATCYTCTGGTGATTAAAAAAAAAGTACAAGCACACCAACACATAAAGCCAAAGTCTCATCAATCTCGTACCTAGACAGCAGAATTCATTTATATGCAGAAATGCAACCAGAGTTGTGAAAATTAAGGTTAGAAAATTGCACAAGCATCAATATTAAGGGGCTGAATATTTGCTGGAAAAGAGAAAGTTAGCTCCTTTTTTCTTGTTCTGTGAATCAATTAATCAGAGTTTTGATTATTGGAAAGCACATGTGGGTTAAAAAGTCAGCGTTTAGACTCAGACGAGCAGTATGTTTATAGTGAAACCAGGAAGAACAAAACTAAAAGACTGAACCTAACACTGATCGTTACATCGGTAATTTGTTTACTTAAACGAACAGAACAAAATCCACCGTTAAAACCTCAACAAAATGCCTTATGTTCACGTCTTGATTTTCGTATTTTTTGTTTGAATTACAAGCGAGACACTAATCTGAAAAAGACAGCAAATGAATTTTACACATGAAATATGGTTGCTTTCTGAAAACACGCTACTCCCATCACGTTTTAAAAAGATGAACATGCACTTTCAAATATTCAAACTTTATTAAACATAACAGGACAAACTAAGAGTTGATAAAAGAAGCTCACCGTTAGGGTTTGTCAAAACAAAGGATAGTGATATTAAATACAAAAATAACRTGTTTCATTCAAGCCTTTTATACAGCAGATTTTCCTTCTATTAGAGTCTTGATTGTTGAAGCGAGAGTTTATTTATAATTTTATTTTCCATCCAACGATATAATACTTTTAGTTGAATTGATCAATAGTTCTTCAAGTTTTCTAAAGATAATTTTCCATCCTGTCTTTTTATCAGATTTAGAAGTTATTAGTTAAAGCACCTACATATTATAAGCAAAGCTACTGTGAACATAAGCAGCTAGCTAAAGTGCTAAAAACCTAGCAGGTTACTAGCTCATGGCTAGCTAGTACATTGAGGTTTGAGCTGGAAACTTGATAAAGTATAGATTTGCTATTTTTTATGTATATTTGTTACTAGCTAACAAGTTACTAGCTGGCTAGTAACTTTGAACATGCAGTTATAGTTAAAGCATTAAGAGCTAGTTAAAGTGCTATAGCATTAGCAAACAATAGCTTGCTTGTACTTAAATTTATTGCTAAAAATACAGTTTAGAATTATGTTTAATGTAAATTTGTTAGTAGATAAGATAATAGCCATGTTCTATGCCTCAATTGTTGAAGCGGCTACCTTGAGCTGTGGCAGCAAGGTTGTCGGTGCTTCTCGCGGTGGCCATCCTCRAACTCGGTGGTGGACACCCCAAGGGAGGCTGTCAAGCTAAAGAAGGAGTCCTATCTGGCCTTGTTGGCTGGTAGGACTCCGGAGGCAGCTGAGAAGTATCGGCAGGCCAAGCGGGCCGCAGCCGTGGCTGTTGCTGAGGCAAAAGCTCGGACATGGGAGGAGTTCCGTGTGGCCTTGGACAAAGACTCTTGATCGGCTCCGAGGAGATTCTGGCAAACCATCTGCCGGCTGAGGCGGGGGAAGCAGCACTTCACTAACACTGTGCTCAGTGAAAGTGGGGTGTTGTTGACCTCAACCAGTGATGTCGTCGGGAGGTGGAAGGAATACTTCTCGGATCTTCTCAATCCCACCGGCACAACTTCTATGGAGGAAGCAGGGTCTGAGGACTTTGGGGCTGGTCTGTCCACAACTGGAGCTGAGGTTGCTGAGGTAGTTAAAAAGCTCCATGGCGGCAGAGCTCCAGGGGTGGATGAGATCTGCCCTGATTTCCTCAAGGCTCTGGATGTTGTGGGGCTGTCCTAGCTGACACGCCTTTGCAACACTGCGTGGACATTGGGTGCAGTGCCACTGGACTGGCAGACTGGGGTGGTGGTTCCTCTCTTTAAAAAGGGGGACCAGAGGGTGTGCTCCAATTACAGGGGCATCACTCTCCTTAGCTTCCCCGGTAAGGTCTTCTCAGGGGTACTGGAGAAGAGAGTCCGATCGATAGTCGAACCTCAGATTCTGGAGGATCAATGCGGGCTCCGTACTGGCCATGGAACACTGGACCAACTCTTTACCCTCACTAGGATCCTCAAGGGGTCATGGGAGTTTGCTAATCCAGTCTACATGTGTTTTGTGGACTTGGAGAAGGCGTTCGACCGTGTTCCTCGAGGTACACTGTGGGGGGGGGAGGTGCTACGTGAGTATGGGATTGTGGGTCCGTTGTTACGGGCCGTTCACAAGTGGTGCAAGAGTTTGGTTCGAATTGCCGGTAGTAAGTCAGACCCCTTCAGAGTGGGAGTTGGACTCCGTCAGGGCTGCCCGTTGTCACTGATTCTGTTCATAACTTACATGGACAGAATTTCTCGGTGCAGCCAGGGTGCAGAGGAAGTCCAGTTCGGTGGCCTCAGGATTTCATCTCTGCTATTTGCAGATGATGTGGTTCTGTAGGTGTCATCGTGCCAGGATCTTCAGCTCTCACTAGAGCGGTTTGCAGCTGAGTGTGAAGCGGCTGGGATGAGGATCAGCACCTCCGAGTCTGAGTCCATGGTCCTCAGTCGGAAAAGGGTGGATTGCTCTCTCCGGGTTGGGGGTGAAGTTCTGCCTTAAGTGGAGGAGTTCAAGTATCTTGGGGTCTTGTTCGCAAGTGCGGGAAGAATGGAGCACAAGATTGATAAATGTATCAATACAACTTCTGCAGTTTTGCGGACTTTGTACTGGTCTGTTGTGGTGAAGAGGGAGCTGAGCTGTAAGGCAAAGCTCTCTGTTTACCGATCAGCCTACGTTCCTACTCTCACCTATGGTCACAAGCTTTGGGTAGTGACCGAAAGAACAAGACTGCGGATACAAGCGGCTGAAATAAGTGTTCTCTGCAGAGTAGCTGGACTCTCCCTTAGAGATGGGGTAAGAAGTTCAGTTATCCGGGAGAGACTCAGAGTAGAGCCGCTACTCCTCCACATCAAGAGGAGCCAGTTGAGGTGGTTTGGGCATCTAGTAATGATGCCTCCTGGATGCCTCCCTAGGGAGGTGCTTCAGGCATGTCCAACTGGGAGGAGACCCAGAGGAAGACCCAGGACATGCTGGAGAGACTATGTTTTTTGGCTGGCCTGGGAACACCTTGGTGTCCTCCCAGAAGAGCTGGAACTGGTGGCTGGGGAAAGAGGTCTGGGCTTCCCTGCTCAAGCTGCTGCCCCGGCGACCCAACTTCGGATAAAGTGAAGGATAATGGATGGATGGATAAGATAATAGCTGGTCAGTAGCTTTGATTAAACAGTTACTAGCTTAAGTACAATGTAGTTAGCAAGTTACTAGCTAGCAAACAATCCAATATATTTATTATTTGTTAAATGTTATAACTTTTGTTTAGGAACCTTTATATGTCTGAAGGAGTAATGGTTCAGAGTGAAGTCCCTTAAACAAATAAACAAAACCAACAAGCACAGAGTAAAAAAGCAACCATTTTGCCCCCCCCCCCCCCCCCTTTTTTTTTGGTCAAGACTTTTAGAAAGTATGAAGATCTATTGATCAAAACCCCCTCAAAAAATTATATGAGAGTCTGTCTCCACGGAATAAAACAGAATTTATACTATAACTCAGGACTGTTTAAGTTCTATATTTGAAGATAATCATAGTATCTGTGCACTCAGGAACACCGACCACGGTGCACCTCACGTAACCTCAACCGTGATTAAAACACTGAGTGAACTCGGGCGAACATGAAAGCTGCCAAACATAAATATATCTGTGCTGTATATAGAAGCTGCAGCTTCTCTGACACACAAGGCCAGTCTGAGGAAAGAGGACACCGTGAGGCTCAGTCACCACGGGGGGACTTTCCTGCTGCAGGTTCAGTCATGGCCAACAAACGAACAGCGCATTCAGACAGCTATGAACTCAGTAGCAACAAAAAAAATGGGTCAGACTTTGACTCATGGAGTGTTTGATTTATTTATTTCAAGGATTATTTCTTTTAAAATGATGACGTTTAAAGAGCACCAGCACATTCTCAAACACAAAAACCTTTTAGCTAAAGCTTTCATACCATTGTGTCTTTAAAGAGGCAGTATTAGTGATATTAAATAAAAAAAGATTAGTTTGACACTTCGCTCTGATGAAATCGTGGGTGTTTATCGGTGTGTGCTGGTGTRCATGAGAGCAACTGCACACGTGGGCAGCTGTTGCATAAACATCCCATACTGCATAAACATCACTTGACTGAATGCAGCTATAGAAGCCCAGAGGGGGAAATAAAAAAAAAGAAAGAAAGAAAGAAAGAAAGAAAACAGAGCGAGGAGAAGGTCAGCTTCCCTGCTGTTACTCCTTCAAATAAGATTTCGTTTACAAGAACAAGAAGGCACGTTTTCTTTTTAGGACCCAAACTTATAATTGAGATAAGGGTGGCTTGTATCTTTTGTTATCAAATGCATATTTAATGTCAGAGTTATTTCTCCTTCAGCAGGAGGGCAAGTTCTCTGTTCGTTTTTCCTGAATTACAGCCAGCAGAGGTCTCTCCTGCTCCAGTTCTGTGGGTTCCAAACCTGCAGCAACGGTCATGCACACGTCGTAAGGCGACACCAGCTCATCAATTATTCATTAGGGAGTGCCTCCAGCCGGTTTCCCCGGTAACAAGCGCCGTTAAATCTGCTTCGAGACCACGGGGAGATTCCCACCGTCTTTCCTCAATGCTTAATGCAGCCCGCATATCTGTCTCTAATTCCTCCGGTCTAAAGTTTCACTGGGTGAGTGTTCAGAAGCAGACACTCGGGCCTTCATTACATTCAGTTCTCAACTTCTAGATGAGATRAGCACAGTGGGTAGAAGAGGCTGAATGGCGTCCTTGAAGAGTGGAACTATTTGTCGACACTTTGCAATTCATTCTGAGGTGGAAAATGAATAAAAAAACATTTGCAGTAGCACTCAAAACCCGAGCCTCTTGGCATTTATTTGCAGTGCATTTTAAACAGAGTCGAGCCTCATAGATGGTCTCTCGTCGACTAGAACTTGTTGTACCTTCTCCATTTTTATTTTTAGTCCATTTAAAGCACAAACGGATACTAATTATAGTTAGCGGGCAGGATCCCTTGAACTCACGGGTGCAGGCTGGCAGCATAACAAAGTATTGATGCTGCAAAACTGGATCACTGCACCAAGAGAACAGCAGCAACAGCCTGTCTGCAATAACAATGTGCTGACTGCAGCTAGATGCTACGATGCAACACAACTCGTGACTCTGCCACATGTCGTCACGGGGTCCCGGTGATGCAAACGTCATCGTCTTATCTAATTAGAAACGGAAGTGAGGATTTGTGATTCTGTGTGGATAAAACCTTATGATTGTAATATCCCTACGAAGAGTAAGGCAGGTCCTTAAGAGTCAGATGAGTGGCAAGAACAAAGTCCAACGGCAGTCGTCAGCTACCCCGCTGGTGCAACAGCCTGGCAAAGGAGATAGAAGCTACTGGCATCGAGACAAAACACTGAGGGTTTCACCCCAAGTCCCTGAGACTGTAGACTAAGAGACAAGAGGGAGGCAGAGGAGTAGTGATGAAACAATTAAGATCCGGACATCAGGAAAAAAGTCTCAAGCAGCACTCTGGAAAAGGAGGAAGTCCCTGAACGGTATGTACCACCAACAGATTGAGGAGGTGGCTGATCTCAACAAATCATACCAGTTTGTAGAGGGGTTTGGACTGAAGGACAGCACCGAGGCACTAATAGAGGCTAGGGTCTAACGTACCAGACAGGACCCACAATGCTCCTTAAGACTGTCCAGAGCACCAGAACAAAGCGTCTGGAACATCTGTGAAAATCCTCCAATCAAAAGGGAGAGACTCTACCAAATGTAGTGGAGAATAATAGGAATAGGGTATTATGGAACTTTCAGATCCAGCCTGCCAAACAGGTGATGGCTAACCAATCGGCAGTGATGTTTCAGTAGACATTGCAATCCCAAGCAATCGTAACGTCAGGGAGGAGCGCTAGAAGATGGAAAAAATCAAGTGGTGGAAGAGGAAACAGAGAAGTTGTGAAGAGTCAAGACCTCAGTGATAGAGCACTTGATGGAAGAGGGGCTCCAATAGATCCCAGGTAGAACCTCAGATGTCTGTCCAGAAGAGTGCAGTCCTGGGAACAGCTAAGCTTCTAAACCTTAAAGTGCCTGTGACATGCATATCCATGAAATACAAAAAGTCAAAGAAAATATATTTGTATTTAAGAAACTTGGCATAATACACATGATTTTACCCTTTATGTCCCATAACTGGCAAATATTTTTAGTCTTTGTTACTGAGCAGGAAAATGAGCAGCAAACATCAATTTATTAAAAGTCACTCGTTCCTATTAGAAGCTTCTTAAGCCTCCAGTGCTTCCTCTGGCTTTGTTTTCCACCTAAGACATTATAGTTATTTTTGAGTCTTCACCTAGTAAATAATTACACACTTAGGATGTGATGTTATTAGCATCTATTAGTCACTTAGTAATCATGCTCATAAACCAGAAAAACTAAACAAATCTGAAGTTTTACTACGAAAGATGAAAACTGACCAGTTCCAGTCATCTGTTGAGTAATCTGTGCCTTTTTAATCAAATCTAATAGTCACTTACACGGTAATACCAGGTGAACTCCGGTTGGTACCAGTCCTGTCTAATATCACGCAGCTCATTTTCTTGTTTCACACAGCATGAAAAGTTTTGCAACAGAACCGTGTTTACAGCAAACTAAAGGGAAGCCCAGTAATGGGCAGAGCGCTAACAGATGGATGAGCATCTGCAGGCAGGGATACTCGTCTTCTCTCTGGCATGACTGACGAGGAGAAAGAGACCTGCTGCGCTGGCGTCCTCGTTGCCTCAGCCTCCATCCTCGCTACCTTCACTTCCATCCTCGCTGCCTCAGCCTCCATCCTTCTCCAGAAGTGAATCATCCCACTCGGTTTCACCGCGCGGAAGAAATGGAGGATAAAACGATACCCTGGTTCTGAGCGAGTCAGACGGATGTCCTGATTCTTTCATTCAAGTTTCACTCTGTTAACTCCTTCCTGTTGCTTTGGTTTCAATAAACACCACAAGAGAGGAAGTTGAAACTGAAAAAAATCAACTGATCTGTAACTCTCTGTGGTGTGAAGAAAAGGATCTTCACTTTCTATTACCCAGTGTGACCTTTGAAGTAGATGCAGACTTTTAGGTTGTTAAAAAAACACCATCCAGCAAAATTAAAAGACTGAATTAAAAGAAGCAGGGCTTCAGTGAATCACATCATTCAAACGTTGATTATTCCAACTCAGCTACGAGTTCAGTTTACTTCAGCTTCCTGCTCTTTGATTGGAGGTGCATTTTCCTCCCACGTGGAGACGTCTCATTGGCCACTCCGAATGATTCCCTGTGCAGGATTGATGGGGGCTGCTGGTGCCTTGTCCTTCCGTTTTAAGATTTATTCCCCCCCGGCTCCACTGGCTATCAATCACAGGGGCGTTGCTCAGCAGACTCAGGGCTCCAGCACAAAGCTGAGAGCGGTGGAGATTCATTACAGAAGCTTAGGTTCTACTGATGAACCCACACACACGACCTATTAAAGGTGCAAGGTATGACACTTTGTATAAAACTGAAGGATTTTTTTTGCGATATTTCCATATTAAAAGGTTAGTTAAGGCCTTAATTAGAATAGTTTCATGGAAAGGTTATTAACACATTTCTTACCTGCTGTAGATTGCTCTTAAAGGACCTCAGTGTTTAATTCTGACTGGACTAACAAGCTAATCTAAATGAAGCCAAAAACTGAGTGGATTTTTAGTATTTCTAGCAAAAAAATAAACATTATAAAAACCTTTACACCAACTTCAGTTTTGCTTTAAATGGTTATTGTAGCTGAAACAATATGATAATCCTGCTGTAGAAGTAGTATAGTAGGGTTAGCATTAACATTAGCAGAAGAATTAGCAGTAGTAGAGCTAGCATTAGCAATGTTAGAAGTAGAATTAGCACCATTAGAACTAGCATTAGCAGTAGTAGCATTTGCAGTTGTAGAACCAGCAGTAGCATTAGTAGAGCTAGCAACAGCAGGACTAAAACTAGCACTAGCTTAAGACTCAAAATAATTAGCATTATTAGAATTAGCATTACTAGTGGTACAGCTAATATTAGCATCAGTAGGCATAGCATTAGCAGTAATAGAATTAGCATTAGCATTACTGGAACTAGCATTCGCAGAAGAATCATAAGCAGTAATAGATTTAGCATTTGTACAAATAGCTTTGGCATAAGTAGCGCTAGCATTAGCAGTAGTAGTCTTAACATTAACTGTTAAAACAGCACAAAGTATGCAGAGGTATTTTGATACCAGAAAACATCTGTAGAAACCTAGAAAACAATGGAAATGCTGAATCAGCATTAAAGCCTGAATGGTTTTCTAAGTGACAGAAAGCTAAAATCAGAACAATATGTGCCTGACATGAGTTTGTTCAAATTATTTTGACAGCAAACCACAGAAGATTAGCATGGGGTAGAACAAAAAGGTTCCCTAATAATAAACAACGGTTCAGACTGACGCACTGCCTCACTGTTTCTGTCTATACTGTGCAGTGAAGGAGGAGCTGGCCAGCTTGAGGAGAAAAAAAAACAGTAAACAAAGCAAACCAATCTCACATCAAAGACTGTTTCCCCACAAATAGGCCAGCAGAGAACAAAAGTCCTCAGGACAGCCGCGGCTCCTGTGTGTGTCCTCACAGCAGCAGCACTGCAGTGTTATGGCATTTCATCACAAGAGGAACTGCAACACAGCGTGCACCAGCACTCTTTCCTTCCCATTTCCATTTCCTGTGGTTGGCCCAATGCCGCATCCATTCCATATTACACCCACCCCACCTAGCCCCATCCCCAAGTTAAATCACAGTCTGCCTGTTCTGGGGGGTGGGAAAGTGCTGACTCACAGCATAAAGGCGAGCCTGTCTCAGCGCTGGGTGAAGCACGTGCAGACTGAATTGGCAATAATCTACCGTACTTCGTTTCACAATAATAATATGACATATGTGCTGTGGATACTGAGCAGATTTGTGCATTTATAAGATATTAAAAGGCTAAAATAATATCCTTTGACTGTCAAACACAAACAGGTGACTTAGGAAGTACTGTGCGACAGATTCAAATGGATCCAAATATCTTCAGATTTTATTCTTTCCGGTCTTTTAATGGTGCTAAAATACCTTTTTATACATTTTAGTGGTGCAATAGCCCCGCCCCCTTTTGGGCTAAAACAGAAGTGGTAAATAAAACTATATGTTTCTGTGTTTTGAAGCTTAAAGGTGTCTGAATTATTCAATCTATCACTGCCCCAATAAATCTACTGTTAGTGTTTTTTTTTTTTATTAGAACTTTAATTTATATGAATTTAAAAAGTTATTCTGGTCTGCCTCTGTCAAAGTGGGAAAACAGCGTCATCTCCTTACCCTTGTTGTTGTAGACGTCTAGATAGTTTGGAGCTGAAAAGATGGTGATAAGGGACGGGAAGCCAGTGGTCTGACTCTTTCTGTACATGCGGTATCTGGAGGAAGGTGAAGAAGAGAAGCAYGAGTTTATCACTGAAAAAACAATTCGCAGTGATCATTTGTATGACTTCATTTTCACTTAGCATGTGTTTGCCTCAAGCTGGCATGTTCCTTTACAGTTGACTTGTTAGACCTACACATGCGTGTGTGGAGGCGCCTTGGGGCGATGAGGTCACCTGAGATGTGGCCAGGTGTCTCGTATGACCCTGCTGTGGGAGTACTATGTAAACAACACAGCCAAACCCACTGTCTGCTCCAGAAGAYAAACTTTTCTAAGAGGTTTGCCTCCATTTGAGACTGAAAAGCTGGGTGAACTGCTGCTGTGCTTCCTTYTTTTGTTGTTGCATAGCTGTAACTGTGAGTTCCCCTCTTTTTTTTTTAATGGAAGCTCAGCTAGTGACTCATCATTGTTGCATCACATGTGGCCGAYTCTCCATGCTGGATTTGTTTTCATTCCTTGGATTAATGTGACGCCCCCCCTTATCAAACGTCCAACCCTGTGCTCATCCTGCTCTCCAGACAGGCTTACATAATAATAATAAAAAAAAAAAACCTTGACACTAAAAAAACTGCTTTTCATTTAGCGCCCTGCTCCGAGTCCCTCTGCTGTGTGATGGGGGAGAAGACGAAATGCCACGACACTCACCCAGCATCCTGTGCTTCGTGGGCCCGGATGATGGATAATAAGTTATTGTGTTGTAGAAAGTCACAGACTGCAGGGTAGCTGTTGAATAAAGAGACATTTAGTTTACTCATACGTCAAGAAAAATCCCAGTAAGCCCAAAGAAGGGCGATCGATGAAAAATAAACAAATAAATAAGGAGGTTGAAAGGTTTATTGATTGTACTCAAAGTCATAGTGGATAAACAAAAAAAAATTTTCTGCAGCTCTTATTTCCCTTAAAATGTGTGTAACAGTTTACAAATTCTAACTCTAAATCAAAACGACTGAGGCGTGACTTCACATACTTAACATTTACTTTTAATAAGGAATGACATAAATCAGATCAAGCTGCTTCTTCAAAAACAAACAAAAAGAAATGTTTTGGAGCCTGTTTTAAGTTCACGCTGATCTATTCAGTCTGCGAGCAGCCGGGGCAAAAGCTTCACTGCAGAGAATCAAACCAGGACGAGGTCAGGCAGCCTTTTTTTTCCTTCTAAATTTAAAAGAAAACTGACRCACGACAGCTACGTGCCTTCATTCTGACATAATCTGACTTTAAAACAGAGCTGCTGTCAAACATAGACAAAAACAATCCAATTCAGAGAAGATGTTTGGATTTGTTGTAATTAATACAAATGTTTCAGCTGATTTAGGCTACATTGAGCATGTTGGTGTACCAGCGTTGGCATCATATGTTGGTGACTCAACAGCTGAGGGCAACGCCCAAGAAGAACCCRGGTCCAAAAAGGGGACGGCCATCGACATACTGAAGTACCCCGGCTCCAAAAGCTCTGCTGCCAATTAAACGACAGCACACTAAAAGCTCTGCCGAGCTAAAGTTGCTGCTGTGGGCAAAAACACGAGCAACCTGCTCAACTGCAAACACGTCCGGGAACACCTGGATTGCTCAAAACCAAAACCGACACCCACCACATCAAAACTGGAAGAACCCYAGGACGACAAGATTCATCCCATAAACATCAAGCCCATTTTGTTTTGTCCTTGTATTTTCTTAAGTTTTTTTTCTTATGTCTTTTTCTAAATGAGTGCAAATAAACAATGAAATATGTGACCCATCATATTGAAATGAGGATTAAGTCAAATTTGGTCAAAATGACCTAATTACATTTTCAGATTCCTGCTTTAAACGCTACATTTTGATACCTGGATCATCCTGATATCATCAGCTTATCCAGAGATATGACTTTAATTTGTCTTGATGGTTACAATGATACATCACTGTTTGGTCTGAATCCTAATTTTATGTAAATTTTTTGAATCATTTTTGATGTCAACATAAAGAGGAAACCTCAAGTAGTATTTGTATATTAAGATTTCCCAGTTGGAAAGAAATAAAAACATTTCTAGCTCACAGCGAAAATTTCAAAATTTTAAGGCGTTTTCATCAAAATCAGGTTTTTTGTTGCTACTGCTCAAAAAATGCTTCAAAAAATTTTTTAGGATTATATTTCAGTTCATTCAAATGATACATTGATAAGGCATTAATTAATTATATTTTGACAAAATGCAATTTTTGCACACGTTTAAATCAAAACCCTATATCTGTCCATTTCTCCACATTTCACTTTTTGGACTTAATCCTTGTTTCGATGTGATGAGTCACATATTTATCTACTTCTTATGAAATTGATATCAAAGCATTTAAAGCAATACCAACTAGATACTGTATGTATCCGAYTTATTATCGCATATAAAAGATGAGGGTCAGATTAGAAAAATTATTTGATTTATCACGTTCAGATTGGCATAAAACAATGCAGTAATGGTTAAAAAAATGGACAAAACCATCATTTTTTCCTGCAGTGTRACTTAATGTTCCTGCTGCTGAGCCTCATCAGCTCCACTTTAGCTTTTGTTCAGTTGTTATTCAACTGTCATGTTTAAACACAACCAGTATTCTTAAAAAACAACCTTGAACAGAGTAATATGCAGCGGTTGTTTAAAATACAGCCTCAGTTCTGTAATCGGAACACCTCTGCACCATCAGAGAAGAACTGAACTCCCACATGTTGTAATCAAACACCCAGCGCTTCGTTTTCTTCTGAAAATACAATAAAAAAAAATCTCTTTCTGCTCCATCATCAACACAACACTGAGGTTTTATAACAAGTCCTGGTGTAGTGTGATACATGGAGCTTTATCAAGCAGCTTTAATGCATTTCCTTTTTTTTAAGTCCTTTAGGGGCAGACTCATTAGAAACGACGCTTGCATGAGCAAATTACAACCCCCTTTTTTCTTTTTTTTTAAAAATAAAGTGGCCATTTTTCAGCTTCAACACTCCGCAAAGAGGTTAATCACTGAAACTGATAGAGTTAGGAAGGGTTCATCAATAATCACGGTTCAAGTAGAACAAATGTTTATGGGGGAAAAGCACATTTTTCAAAATAAAAAAACAACAACAGGCTTTTATGAGCTGAAGTAATTATCATTTAGTTCACAGAAATGAAAAATATAGCTTTATTTCTCGCTCTGTCTCCCTGCAGCAGATGCAGACGTGCGCCATATGTTTGTGYTTTAATGTTAGATATAATTTATTTTATGTTTTTGGAGGCAAATTAAGTTCAGATCATCTCCCATTTGTCAAATAAATAAAAATAAAAATAAAAAAACGGGGCAAAGTCCGAGAAATGCTGATTACTTTTCAGCTGGTTTATTGAACCTTTAATTAAACATCATTAATAAAATATGTTACAAGAGGAAAACCCTTTGGGCTGACTGATCTATATTTCTTAATGGAGGCAGCCGTATTTGAAGCTCAAGCAATTTCATGCCTGAGTTGTAAAAAGTGTTACGAGCGTGCCTGTGGCTCAGTGCGAGGCAGGAGCAACAAGGCAGGCTGATGGCTTTTTGAGGAGGAGCGCTGAGGAATGCCTCTCGCTTTCTGCCTGAAACCGTCTCATAAATCCTGAAAGCCTGTGTGAAGCCAATTAGCCGCCCTCCTCCCCCTCTGGGCAGATGAAGAAGCTGGACGCCGATGAAAGCGCGACTCCGGAGGAATTCTGACCGAACGACGGCGGGGTTAACTGAGACGAGGGTTTAACACGAACATTTCTGACATAAGGATCTGTTGTTTGGAGATTCCTTTCTTTCTTTTGAAAGAAAAAAAAAGCTACATACTTAACATTTCTTTCTTGTCACGGTTTAGTTGAATGAAAACATTAGTGCTCCACATTCCTTTAAACACAAACTCACCCGTGGACCTGAAAGGTAACGACTCGTTTCGTGACCCACTGTCCTGMATGTTTTAACCGTTTCCCTGCTCCAACACACCTGATTCAGATAATTACATTACCTACTCAGAATGTCATCAAGCTTAGCAGAAGCCTGTCAATCATTCATTTCAGTCAGGTGTGTGGAAGCAGGGGTCATGAGGAACAGAGCTGAAGACCTCTGCTTTAGACTAAGAGGCGATGGGTAAAGTGTCCTCACAAATCCACCACAACTACCTTAAACATTAAATTAAGCAAGTCGTTATGAAACACTTGCTACCCAGGGATGTGGGCTCCACTCAGAAATTTTAGCTAGGTTTTACGACGTCTTTCTTTAGCTTGGCGACGCATTGTGCTGATCTTAAACTTCCCCCAGATTTAACAGATATTTCCATCCGTAGGTTTTTTTTTTCCCTACATAATTTTTGTAAACTTTGAAAGCGGTATGAGGATGACCGGCCGCAAATATTTTTAGAAGCCAGAGGAAGACACATAAATGAACCGTGCCGTCTTGGATAGAGGAGGGTAGCAATGTTACAGCTTTCAGTACAAAGTGTTGTGTTTTCCCAACCTCTGATCCAGGTTTTTTACGTACGTAAATTTCATAAACTTCCATAAGCTTCGAAAGTGGAGGAGACGGGGATCATTATATTRGTTTAAAATGATYGTCAAAGGATTTAAATGTTATCATTAATTTCTGAGACAATTTATCGTCCATCAAAATTTGTTATTGTGATTTTAGTCCGGTTGTCATCAGAGACATTTTAGATGAAACACATACTTATATTTTCAAGTACTGCCCCAAAATGTTTGTTTTTATGTTTTAAATTGCCTGTGACATGCATATTCTTCAAATACAAAAAGTCAAAGAAAACATCTTTATATTTAAGAAAGTTATAATACACACAATTAACACATTTTGCCCCGTAACTGGCATATTTTCTTTTGAACTTGGCTCAGTCAATGTGAAACAGGAAGTGACATCAAATGGGAACTCTAACAAAGAAAACTCTCTGGTCTTTGTTTATTGAAACAATATTATTTGAACTCTGACTCTTCTTCATCTCTCTGATAGAGACTCAAAATAATAGTCTGGGTTGTTGGCTGTTGAAGCAATGCTCTGGTCACATGCAGACATTCCCCTTTGACATCACTTCCTGTTATTTTACAGGCAAATATCTCAACTGTTCGTCTCAGTGACATGAAATTTATTTTGCAATATTTTATCAATGTCTTCTTTCTAAAAATGCATTCATATGCATTACAAAAATTTGATGTCACAGGCACTTTAAGTTCTACTGATCCTAATTAAAAAAATCACACCAAGCTTGAGACTCAAAAGAATCAAACTGTCAAAGGAGACRCAGGTGAAAACGTCCGTGAAGTTGGGCGGCCAGTAGGGAGGACCAGAGGTTGTGATCGCCCTCGCCCCCTCTGAAGGAGCCCTTACTAACCATTAAATAAAAAGAGAGGCTACATGTTTGAAACATGAAGATGTTTTTCATTCCTTCTGCTGAAATAAATTGAATTTATACTTGAGGAAAAAAGGGGCGGATATTATAAGATTTTTTTCTTCTCTCTGCTGCCTTTCATTTCATTGTATTTGTGTTTTCTTTTCTTGCACACGGAATTTTGTTTCTAAGAAATGAAAATAGTTTTGAAACAAAAGAAAAGAAAAGAAAAAAGCGACTGAGCAGCTGAACGTGTTACRAAACCGTACCAAGCCTTGTGGCAATGTCCCAGTTCATTACATTTTGTGTCAGAGCTCACAAACCCTCCTCACTTAAAAAAAAAACTCTCTCTAATGTGACTTTGAAAAGGGGAGAAAAAGCAAGAGATACGCATGATAAAATGTCCCTAAAGACGACGCGCCCACCTGTAGAAGTAGGAACAGCCTCTCACGGTGTTGTGTGTGAAATGCTCTTGGCTTTTCTCATTTCCGAAGTCCTCCAGAGGGTCGGACCATAGCAAGTCGCACATGGGTCCGTATGCTGGGGGCTCCTTGAATCTGTCTAGCTGTGGAGGAAAGTGAGTCTGTTTAAATGGGAAAACTTCCCTTCGAAGCCTTTGAACCACAACAGAATGATAACATGACAAGTGTAAAGGACATCAAAAAACAGAACTTTTCTTTCTGATTAACAGGTTTCAGAACAGATGGAAAACACTCGACAGCAGACAGTTTTTTAAAACAAAAAAGCATTGATTTTTTTTTTTTGTTTTCCAGCAACAAAAGCTCAGCCTGAAAGGAAAGTTTTGGTTGAAGCTGCTCGGGSAGAATGACGGATCAGATTCTGTGACGCAAAAACCTCTGATTGCAGCCACACAGTCCATTTTGAATTATTGAATTAGCTGGAAAGCAGAATCCAACTCTTTAGCATTTTTTGAATCAGACCGTTCTGATCCGTCTGGATCCTAAAACCTGAGCGGCATCTGGTTCAGATCAAGTTAAATAATTACAGTTTTTTTTCTTATTAACTTGACTGAAAGCAGGAAAAACAAATACAAAATGGACGGGAGATCAACAACTTGCTGTTAAAATGAACCAATTAAAACTAGCATTCTTTGAAGGAATGCGTTTTGTCCATCATCCTGTTCTCCAGTTTTTAAAACAAAGATCTGTTTGAGCAAACAGGACGAGTTAAGTATGACTCTCAGCTACTACCACACCAAATTTCAGCTCAATATGTCTAAAAAAACGATTGACGTGTAGGCAGCTAGTTCTGCTAATTAGCTAACAGATAATAGCTGAACAATTTTTTGTTTATTGGATTAGCTTTTGAAAACCTTTAGCAGACCAATTAGCTTCCACGAAATTAAGTTTTGCCAACCTTAAGTCTACAAACAGCTAAAAGCTAACATCTCAGTCCCACCRGTCTTCAGCTGGAAAGAGACAAAGTTGTGTGACGCAGACTGACAGACATCTTAGCGGTTAGCCATTAGCTATTAGTGTAGCTTCAGCAATTTTTTTTACACGTTTAGCAATTTAGCATTAGCAAAGCTACATTTTTAGTTAGCGGATCAGGAGTTAGCAAAGCTAACATTTCGGTTAGCTGTGCCCACCCCTGGATATGTCTGGAATACCTGATGACATCACTACAGCTCAATAAAAAAAAAAATCAAGTTTTAAAACCGGCGCTTTCATAAACAAAACCAGCTTGTTGCCAGGTGATATAATTGCCAAATTTCCACAAGCTATGACTCACTCTGAAGCTTTTAAGATGAAGAATTTAGAAATCTAAATTTTAAAAATCCTCACTGTGACACACTTTGCCAGAACAGGTTAACAATTCATGCAGTAACAGTGAAAATAAAGTCAGATCAGACACATACTTTCCTGATGTCGTCAAGATTTGTGATTTCTGGAGAAAGTCCTCCGTGTACGCACAGGAACTGCTGGTTCATAAGAGCAGCCAGGGGAAGGCAGTCGAAGGCGTCCATACATGCGTCATACACCCTCTCTGAATACTTAATTCTACCTGTCATGGGCGAAAACAGAGGAAGAAGAAAAAAAAATAACAACATGCCAAGTCAAACAGAGTAGCTCTCTTATACTGGGGAGGTGCTTTGATTGGGATGGAAAAGGCTTTTAACGCTGCCAACAAACTTGCCAAACACAAAAAAGCACAATTTTACTGTGAATTTAGTGTTTATGTTCCCCTCTATTCCAGCTCAGTCAGGCAGAAACAATCTGACATCAGATCAAATGTTAAGGTGAATATCTGCCGGGCACTGCTGACAGATTTTTAGAAAGAATAACTGTAGGTATGAACTGAGCAAAGTGTTAAAGACTTTAAATGGACAGTTTTGTGCTTATGAGGTGGGGTTGTGTTGAGCAGCTGTAATAAGACAGTATCTTACCTGCATCTCTTGTCTGAACTTTATTAAAATTTGTTTCTTTATATTTAGCTTCTAAGAAGCCAGATGTTTTTGTAATCTTTGAAAGTGGTCTGGATTATGTTAAATTATTTAGTGATAGTTTGATTAGTTGGTCTTGCTCAAGGACACTGCAACATATGGGCATTGTGGGGAATAGTACCTTTCCTGTCACAAACAAGATGGCAGGTCTACCGCCCTGCTCTGGATAAGCACCAGACAAGATGAAGTAAAGATTGATTCGTAGCATCTCTACACTTGAATTGCATTGATCACTGTCTAATGCAGGTAAGATACTGACTACTAAAGCTACACCCCAAAACGCACTTCTAAAGAAAAAATAAAGTACAAAAATGACTTACATTCCTGYTTAAATGTGAAATACTCTGTTAAATGTCGGCATTCGTGATTCCCACGCAGCAAAAACAGTGTTTTGGGGTAAAGGATCTTTAAGGCCCACAAGTACAGCACACACTGAAACAAAACAAGAGAAGAAGAAATGAACAGTTGGAGACGAGCAAAACCCATCAAGCTTGAAAGGATCACTTAAATACCAGAACTTCTTCTATTGAAACATTCATGGGGAAAATTTAACGGATCATTTAAAGCACTGAAGTTGACGTAGAGTCGAATAAAACATAAGAAATCTTGAACGAGATGTTCTTTGAGAACTTATTTTGGACAATATTWAAAAAAAATTAAAATCTCTCAGCTCCGCTGTGACATTTGCTGTCCAGACTTCATTTGAAACAATCATAAAAGTGGTTTATCGCTGCAATATCTGCAGCCTGATTTCATCCACGCTCAGAGAAAGCTATTAATAAACCCGGCTCCAGTCACAAGCACATGCCGTGCGTCACGTTCGATTAGGGCCACCGGAGGACAATAACAAAACACACAGACTCACTTCAATACTGAAATACCCTCTGTCTACGTAGTCCCCGAGGAAAAGGTAGCGCGTGGATGCTGGTGATCCTCCAACTTCAAACAGCTTCATTAGGTCGAAGAACTGCCCGTGGATGTCTCCACAAACTGAAAGAGGAGGAACAGAAAGAGAACAGCAGAACGTTAGTGTGGAGGAGGATCAGTTCACAGCTGAGGTACAACAAACAAAACCACACTATGATGGAGATGGTGTCCACTTTTATTGATTTATATCAGGCAGCCAAAACCAGGTGATAGGATGAACATCTGTCCTAACAAGACTAACTTTAGGACACAAGRATTAGTTTTTTAATAATAAGATGTTTGTTGCAGCACCTTTTAAGCTTCCTCAGGGTAAATAGGCTGAGCCTGAAATAGACAGCAGCATAAATTAAATTGTGATGATGAAGTTCCTCACCACTGCAAAAACTGTCCATCTAACCAAGTCTTATATCTCATATTCAGTTAAAAAGTGTTTTTGATCTTGTTTTGAGACTGATTTACTAATTAAGAGCAGAACAATATAGACTATTAATCGTTAGCCTGGAAATTGTTCTTATTTTAAGTGCAATTATCTTACTGAACTGAGATTTCACTTGAGTCTGACTCTTCTCAAATTAAGTGAAAATAAGGAAAATATCCAGGCAAACAAGATTAATCATTTATATTGTTCTGCTCCCTTTATTAAATCTCAAAACAAGATAAAAAAATTACTTTTTAGTTGAATATTAGATTGTAAGACTTTGTTTGATGGACAGTTTTTCCAGTATATCTCTAAGGCTGAGCCCGGCCACCCTGCGAGGGAAGCATTCCGACTCTTTGGTCTACTTTTTCAAAAAATAAAAATAAATAAATATATAACTCACCCTCCGACCCTCCATGCAACAGTTACTTACAAATAATCTAATTTAACAACTGCTCGTTGCTAATTTGTCTATGAAATCAAGACGTAAACTTGTTCTGTGACGATTATAAGAGACTTTTTATGTCTAAACAATTCATAGGTCAGAATCTGGCAATTTCTGCTCAGAGAAATACTAACCTGGACTGAAAATGAGTCAAGAAAAACTGTTAAAGTCCAAAGAAAAACTTTGAAAAATATTTAGAAAGCCCTGAGAATYACTGCTCAATTCCACTTCAAAAAGTTACATGAAAGTCTGGTTCTTTAAGACAAATAAAAAGAAAAGACTTCTGCAGTCTGCAATATTATGTGAATTTCTTTAAAAGCACATACTAAATACTCAGATATGTTAAACTTTTAATCTTTCTAATCTAAATTTAACTGATAAAAATTGAAACTATAAACGTGATTCTCAGTGTTTATCTCTAACTGCACTTTCATGCGGGTTGTTTAGTGTCCGTGTGTTGAATCCAGTTTATCACAGCTGTTGCTCACAGATAATTTACCTGACACTAACGATGAGGTCTGATGGAATCCCRGTGCATTGTGGGCCGATCACACAACATGTGCGGTTATTAACGAATGAGCGGGCAGCTGTTAAACATCACCAGGGGAGCGTTCTGGGATGAAAACAACTGCGTCTGAAATGATCAAGTGATTCAGCCTGGACTGGTTTCTGGTCCAACTATGAGATCCGACACTAACTACACCCCGGAGACCCCAGAGAGACTGAGGTTAAAGCAGATTTGTTGCTTTTCTCCCTTTGACTGTCAAGGTGCACATAAAATCACCTGATTAAAAAAAAAAGGCTTTTATATTGCTGTCATTTTAATAGATGAGATACTCTGAAGAGTTGTTTGGGTCTTTGCTTGCCTGGCTCACAAGAGATGCTTTGATCACAAGCATGAAGGGTGAAACTGTTGATCAGATTTAAAGTKCCTGTGACATCCATTTTTCAATGCATATTTGCAAAGCTAACATTGATAACTTATTGCAAAAACAAAATTATGCCGGTGAGATRAATAGGTGTTGAGATATTTCCATGAGAAGTAACAGGAAGTGATGTCAAAGGGGAATGTCTGAATGTGACCAAAGCATTGCTACAGCTGACAACACAGACGGTAAAATATAATCTGATGTTTCTTTACATTATTTTGGGTTCCTAACAGAGCTGAAGTAAAGTCAGACTCGGAGTTGAAATAAAATTGTTTGAATAAAAAAGGTAATTTTTTTCTAAGGAGTTCCTCTTTGATGTCACTTCCTGTTTCACTTTGGCTGAGACAGTTTAACAGAAAATATGGCAGCTCTGTGATAAAATTGGTAAAATCATGTGTTTTATGCCAAGTTTTCTAAATATAAAGATGTTTTCTTTGACTTTTAGGTTTTAAAAAGTTGTTTTCTCTTGTTAGATTTAATGGCCACCTTCACTCCTAGAAGACAAATGGTTTCGGGGGAYGACAATAAAGCATTAAGCCCACTACCTCAACTCGACTTAAAAGCCTTGKTGAGACCTAGAGAGGCCTGAAGAAATAAAAAACCACAAACCTCAATGTGCAAAAACATTGGTCAAAAATACTTTAATAAGTAATTTACTGACAGTTACTAAATCAATTAATAGTTTTWAGTTGATGAATTTTAAAAATACGTAAAAACCAAATGAGTTGATATTTACTTTTTGCCAAGGCTGAGACACTTTACACATATTACTGCATTAAACCTTTTTTTTTGACAAATTAGTTTTTTTTAATTAAGCTAACAAGAAATAGAACAAACCTCAACATAAACAGAAATAATTGAATTTACTTCACGTTTACATTTTCCAGAATTAGATTTGCATTTGCAAGCAAAAAAAAAATTTTTTTTTTTTTGCAAATGACAAAACTATTAAGTATATTTCTTTTGCGTGGTTCAATACATTCTACCAGGTGGAAAAAAAAACGTATGTAAATGTAATTAACCTAAGTCTTTGAGGAAGTAGTTTAAATTATCATTCCGTTGACTAAATTATATTTGTCAATGTGCTGAAAACAATTACTGACAGACTGACTTCAATTAAAGATGTTCCGTTTTAGAAAAGCCAACTGTAATAAACAGCTTGAATAAAWATAATCACCAGTGACATCATGTTTCTAATGCGTCCTGATTCACCTGTTGATGCGTAATCGCTCAATTAAGCTCGTTAACAAAAGGATGGAAAAAGATTTGAGACTAATCTGAAAAAGGACACGTAGCTGACTTCTCCTGAAGCTTTATGAACTGCAGCTCCGAGAAAGAGACAATAAGAAGAGGAAGAGGAAGGAAAGTGACGCAGAGACGCCCAATTAGTGGAAGCAGGAGGACAGCGTTTGAGAGCAATTACTTGAAGTTAYGAGCCTCGTGAGATGGCTCAGAGAAGCCGCTCTCCTCGACTGTTATCGTAAACCTCCTCTTTATCGTCCGTCTTTTATTAAACCCACAATGCATTTCTGTTTAAATCCACAGCAGGGACTGAAACTTCCTAAATGAAACCTTAGGTTTTGTGTCAGACTTGGTTACGTTCAATTTAAATCCACTACAAGCAAAGGCTTATCTATTTTTAGATGAAGCTCTTTTAATGGGACAGAAACAGGTTTGCTTGTTATTTTAACTGTACCCAATAGAGATGCAAGTTATCGATTAATGAATTAATCTAAAGTTGATTGATCTTATCRATCGACTAACAATTAATTGATAAGCGGTCATTTTTCTTAAAAACCTGACATTTCTCTTGAATCAAGAGTCCTTCTTTAACATSAAGGGCTAATTTTTT